TGCTAGCTCGCTACTAGCCCGCTTCTATCAAATTACAGTAATTAGCGTTAGCTAAACTAGCTAAGTTAGCTGGTTAACTTCCAACGGCCGCGGAGGCTTTAATGTAACTTACCTGCTCCTGGCGGGTTCATTTACTAGTTATTAATCCAGTGACCGGTTATAGGTTCACTCACCGGATGGACTGAATCGTTCCCAGAAAAAAAGTCACAAGTGGCGATGCTGCCTCCGCCGTTACTTCACATCCCAGCCCGGCGATGATCCGCCCGGCTGTGGTAGTTTAACTACTTGGTATTTAATCCTCAAGCCATTCCAATGTCTACAAGCCTCAGCTGGCTAATTAATAATCATTCACTGTGATTAGAGGCGACGAAATGATCATTTGCCATAGTAAATCATAGAACCAGCGGTGAAGGAAGCAGCTAAATGGCGACACCTACCGGCAAGAGCGAGGAACAACACCTGTTCCTGCAGCACCAGAAGGGGAGAACAAGGATGGATGGATGTGAAGATTTGTAATTTCAGTTAATCATTGTTAAATAAAATAATAGTAAGAACTAAAGCTGCTTCAATTAGTCAAATTTTCAGTTAGAAGATGGATAGAAAATGAATCAGCAACAATTTTTATAATCAAATAGTTTTTAATTTAATATGATGTATTAATTTAGTTATTTTTAATGAGAATCTTTGGATTTAGACTGTTGGTCAAACAAATTCTTTTGTAACTGCTTGAACCACTGAAGACAGTTTTACTTCACTTTGGGTGTTGGACTTCAAACTTCACCTGAGGATCAAAACCATGAATGTAGAACACCTGAAAAGTCCTCTAACACTGTGAAACATTAGGTCAGAGAGACTGGAGACATAATTTCTAAAAGCTTGTCATTCTTTCCTCTGAGTGTTGGACTTTCCGATGTGATCAAACACACAACCTCTAAATATATCAAGACTTTGAAACTGTGAGAGATTTTGAGTTTTCTTGTGTTGGACTTCAAACTTCATTGAGTTACTGAGGATTAAAACCCGTGACCTCTAACCTTTAGACAAGTCTTCAACAGCTTGAGAGACTGGGACAGAAACAAAAACCAGTTCTTCTCCTGGAGACTGCCAGTCTTTCCTCTGGACATTGGCTTTCAACATTAAATCTCTGTCTCAGGATTGAACCAACAACCTCAAAACTTCCGGGGAGTCATAGACCACCTTTGAAGTTAGCCGATTCAAATTGCACATGAAGCAAGTTAATGTAGACCTCTTCTTTTAGGACCTTTCAGGCTTTTCTCTGAATGTAAACCTTCAACACTGAGAGCCTCAACAACATTGTCATTGACTGTCTTTGTCTTTTCTCAGACTTTTCAAACAAACTGTGACAGTGTTTTAGTTTGAACTGAATCGACTCAGTCGTCCTCAGATTCAGGAAAAACACAAACATTATCAGTAATGCTTTTATTGTGAAAAGGTAGATAGATAGATCGATAGATAGATAGTTAATTTATCGAAAATTTAGCCGTTTTATTAATGCATGAATCTGAAAACTTGTGTGTGAGTGAAAGAGACAGACATGTAGAGACTGAACTATCTGTTCAACAGTGAGAACGTTTCTCTCTCTGCTACATTCAACAAAGAGACACTGAGGAACCAGGACTGAACAAGAGTCGAACTCTAACTCCAACCCAAACCCCAAACCCAAACCCAGGATACAGAGGTTCAGTGAAGGTGGTGTTGAAGGTGTGGAGGTGGATCAGTTTGTTAGAGGAGACTCTGTAGAAGGACAGAGAGCCAGCAGGATAGTCCACATACACTGCTACTCTGTGAGAGACAGAGGAGGAGGAGGAAGAGGAGGAAGAGAAGGAGGAGAGGTAGGAGGACAACCTGGACAACATGAAGGAGGAGGAGGAGGAGGAGATATATGTTTCTCTGTTATTGTGACAGACAGAGTAACCAAAATCAGAGCAGTTCAGACTCCAGGACTGATCGTTCCATCCAAACACACAGTCTTTCCTGTTTCCTCTCCTGCTGATTCCTCTGTAACTCACTGATATATAAACATGTCCTCTCCACTCGACCTCCCAGTAACAGCGACCAGTCATACCAGTTGAACACAGCAGCTGAGGCCAGAGGTCAAATCTGTCTGGATGATCAGGATATGACTGATCCTCCTCCACATGTTTCACCTCCCTGTTGTTGTCAGACAGTTTGATCTGTCTGTTCACTGTGTTTGTGTTGATTGTGAGTTCACAGGAATCTGATGGAGAGAACAAGACACAGCTGCAGTTATTGATCATCTGATCAGTTATTGACAGTTTGATGATGACTCCTGACATCAGTGATGTGACAGTTTGAAGATGGTTGAATGTGCTGCTTTGTTTTCATCAATCACATTAAAAACACACTTACACTTCCTCAGACCTGGTGTCAACCATCGGACTCCACCAGGCTCCGCCCTGAAAGGAGGAGGGGGGTCAGACCAGCACGTTCTCTGTCAGCATGCACACATGGACATTACATGGCTCTCATACACAGACTGTTTGATTACTGTGTTCAGATGGAGGCTTGTGTGTATGGATGTACATTGACCACAGAGAGAAAGGAAGTGGAGTCTTCATCTTTAATGATACAGAGCAGGGAGGAGACATGGAGAAGACACTTCATCACCTTGTCTAATAGTAAAGTCTGCACCTGCATAAAGTCCCTCCTCGATCAGACAGTGTGTGTGTCTGCAGCAGGCCTCTACATACCTGAGAGTGTCCAGTCTCCAGTCTGGATCCTCCAGTCCAGCAGACAGAAGCTTCAGTCCTGAGTCTCCTGGATGATTGTAGCTCAGGTCCAGCTCTCTCAGGTGGGAGGGGTTGGAGCTCAGAGCTGAGGCCAGAGAAGCACAGCCTTCCTCTGTGACCAGACATCCTGACAGACTGAACACACAAAACAACACACAGGAACCCTCTGTCAACACCTGCTGCTCTGTTAAACTGTCATCAGATAAACAGGTTGATGGATCCTGACCTGAGAGTCTCCAGTGTACAGAGTGGACTCTCCAGTCCAGCAGACAACAGCTTCACTCCTGAGTCCTGCAGGTCGTTGTTACTCAGGTCCAGGTGTCTCAGACTAGAGGACTGGGAGCTGAGGACTGAGGACAGAGCTCCACAGCTTCTCTCTGAGAGGTTACAGCCACTCAGTCTGAAGAGATGATCATGAGGAATTAAAGAAGAAAGGAAGTTATTTTCTCTCCTGTTGAAAAGACAGAAGTGTCTTTATATAATGATGAATAAATCAACTCTCTCTACACTTACAGAGCTTTGTTAGAGGCTTTGACCACTGGCAGCAGCTTCAGAAGAGCCTCCTCTGAAGCAGAGTATTTCTTCAGGTCAAACACGTCCAGATCTTCTTCTGAGGACAGTAAGATGAAGACCAGAGCTGACCATTGAGCAGGAGACAGTTTATCTGTGGAGAGACGTCCTGATCTCAGGGACTGTTGGATCTGCTCCACTAGAGAACGATCATTCAGTTCATTCAGACAGTGGAACAGGTTGATGCTTTTCTCTGCAGAGGGAGTCTCTTCAATCTTCTTCTTGATGTACTGGACTGTTTCCTGATTGGTCTGTGAGTCACTTCCTGTCTGTGTCATCAGACCTCGTAGGAGAGTCTGATTGGTCTGCAGTGAAAGACCCAGGAGGAAGCGGAGGAACAAGTCCAGGTGTCCATCTGGACTCTGTAAGGCCTCGTCCACAGCTCTCTGGTAGAAGTTTGTCTCTGCAGATTCGTCTCGTCTTGGTTCAGACTTCTTGGAGGTTGATTGTTCTTCTGACATCAGATTGAGTCCAGACTTGATGAAGGTCAGATGGACATGAAGAGCAGCCAGAAACTCCTGAACACTCAGATGGACGAAGCAGAACACCTTGTCCTGGTACAGGCCTCTCTCCTCTTTAAAGATCTGTGTGAACACTCCTGAGTACACTGAGGCTGCTCTGATATCGATGCCACACTCTGTCAGGTCTGATTCATAGAAGATCAGGTTTCCTTTCTGCAGCTGCTCAAAAGCCAGTTTTCCCAGAGACTCAATCATCTTCCTGCTCTCTGGACTCCAGTGTGGATCTGTCTCAGATCCTCCATCATACTTGACCTTCTTCAGTTTGGACTGAACCACCAGGAAGTGGATGTACATCTCAGTCAGGGTCTTGGGCAGCTCTCCTCCCTCTCTGGTTTTCAACACCTCCTCCAGAACTGTAGCAGTGATCCAGCAGAAGACTGGGATGTGGCACATGATGTGGAGGCTTCGTGATGTCTTGATGTGGGAGATGATCCTGCTGGCCTGCTCCTCATCTCTGAACCTCTTCCTGAAGTACTCCTCCTTCTGTGGGTCAGTGAACCCTCTGACCTCTGTCACCACGTCAACACACTCAGGAGGGATCTGATTGGCTGCTGCAGGTCGTGTGGTTATCCAGAGGCGAGCAGAGGGAAGCAGTTTCCCCCTGATGAGGTTTGTCAGCAGCACGTCCACTGAGGTGGACTCTGTAACATCAGTCAGGATCTCAGTGTTGTGGAAGTCCAGAGGAAGTCGACACTCATCCAGACCGTCAAAGATGAACACGACCTGGAACTGATCAAACCTGCAGATTCCTGCTTCTTTGGTTTCAGTAAAGAAGTGATGAACAAGTTCCACCAAGCTGAACTTTCTCTCTTTCAGCACATTCAGCTCTCTGAAGGTGAATGGAAATGTGAACTGTATGTCCTGGTTGTCTTTGTCTTCAGCCCAGTCCAGAGTGAACTTCTGTGTTAAGACTGTTTTCCCAATGCCAGCCACTCCCTTTGTCATCACTGTTCTGATTGGTCCGTCTCTTCCAGGTGAGGCTTTAAAGATGTCTTCTTGTCTGATGGTTGTTTCTGGTCTGACTGGTTTCCTGGATGCTGTTTCAATCTGTCTGACCTCATGTTCATCATTGACCTCTCCAGTCCCTCCCTCTGTGATGTAGAGCTCTGTGTAGATCTGGTTCAGAAGGGTTGGGTTTCCTGCTTTAGCGATCCCCTCAAACACACACTGGAACTTCTTCTTCAGGTTAGATTTGAGTTCACGTCGACAAACTGGAGCAATAAGTTCTGAAGGAACAAACAACAAATAAGATCAATGAAGAAACTATAAAGTCAATATTTCATCATTTCATCTCCCTAAAGAAAACATGTATGAACATGTTTCCCTCCATGTGTTGATGTTAGTAAATGTCTCATTTCTCCATCATGTTGAATCTTTAGAGAAATCCTCTTACTGCTCTGCAGACAGTCAGCCAGCTGCTCCTGCTTCATTCTCCTCAGGAAGTTCACTGTGATCTTCACAAATGCCTCTCTGCTGCTCCTCTGCTCTTCATCCTCAGCGTCCAACACCTCCTCATCCTCCCTCTGACTCCCTGAGCATTCTGGGTAATCTGGACTCAGAAGCTTGTGCATCTTCTTCAGCTCGTTCTTGACAAAAGTGACCATGTTCTCCTCCAGCAGCTGGAACAGAAAACTATATGAATGACAGCATCAAACATCAGATCCATGTTGGACAGACTGACAGTCCACTGGTCTGAAAGTGCAGCATGGAGATTATTGTGAACACAACAGATGGAGCAGTAGTTGTTGTACATGTACAGACCATAAATATGGAGTCCAGCTGTGTTTGATGCTGCTGGGCAGACTGAGCACTGGGAACCTCTGAGCTCTCCTGGTCCACTCTGTGGAGGAATCATGAAGAATGAGCTCACATTATGTCTGTCCACACAGAGACAGACACAAGCTAAAGGTCCATGAAGTCACGTTTGGATGTGACAGCCAATCAGACGACTCCCTGTAGCGGTAAAGGTTTACTAGTCCTGCTGATCCCACTGAGAATCAACAGCTCAGTCTGCAGCTGTTTGTAGCTTTCAGCTCAGTGTTTGCTTTAGTCCCAACAGCTCTCACCAACCCTCCACAGTTTTACCTCCACCTTCCAGTGAGGACGTTCACAACAGACACAAACACTTTGATTTCAGACCAGGTCCAACAACACGTCGTACAAACTAGTTCTTTTCTACAATAACCTGAGTCTCACTGTCAGTTACAGCTTACATCTGATCAGCTGATGGACGTCGCCCTTTAAACTCAACGATAACATCCTTTGACATGTCGCTCTTTAAAGACAGACAGCTGGGTTCAGGAGAGTCTGGTCTCTGCTGCTGGATCCTGAAACAAAAACAGAACTGATAAATGTTCATGTTGAATAAAAACTGGTGAAAAATATCTTCAATCTTTAAATAAACAGAACAACTGACTTTTAGTGAGAAACGTCTTTCTGACTGTTTTTAATTCTGACCTTCCATCAACAGATTGTCTGAATTCACTCTTCATGGACACACAGCTGGATCCAGGTTCAGGTCCCGGTCCAGGTTCAGGTCCAGGTCCAGCAGAGTGTGGTGTGTCTCTAACACTAACACACACAGAGCTTTGAGTGTGAATAATGATGGAGCAGTGATGTGAGTCATGGACAGTTAGAGATCCTCATCTCACCTCTGAGCTCTGGTCTGGCTCTCATGTTCCCCACACAGAGTGGTTTTAGAGGGAGGGGCTCCCTCCTCTCTGTCCTCACACTGATCCATGCTGCTGAGTTCACATCCACATCAGCTCACACACACTTTCTACCTTCATGTGGAGAGAAACACACATCATTCATCTGCACATCAACTCAAATGTACATCATTTCTCCAGCTGCTCCTCCACTGATTGGCTCTTCTTCTCTGTTTCATATCAGTGTGAGGCAGAGGAAGCTGCCATCAGCTGCTGTACTTCTACCATCTGTCCACTAGATGGCGTCATGAAGCTGCAGTGACGTGAAGAGCAGCCCAGCAAACACACGGGATCATGGACGATCATTAACATCCACTGATTCACTGAGTTTATCTGACAGTCTATGTCTAATGCAGTACAAGTATAAAGTACTAGAACATGGAAACACTCCAGAGAAGTGCAAGTACCTCAGAACTGCACTAGAGTACATGTGCTCAGTTACTCTGAAGAATCTGATCCTGATTATTGAT